TATCGCCATACAACAACAACGATATTATGTTTAATAAAATCTATCAAAAACTTCAAAACAAATATGGTTCATCGCCATTTATTTCTTTATTATTACACTTGGATGGCATTAGTTTATGCAAATCAAGGAAGCTTACCTTATGGTTATTCAGCTGTAGTTTAATTGAACTTCCTATCCATCTACGGTATCGCCGTTTTAACATGGTTATTCTTTCCGTTTGGATTGGCCATTGCGATCCACTTATTGATTTATGGTTAAGTGAATGTTTACAACAGCTGAAGATTCTCAAAGATACAGGTATTTATAAATTTCATTCTGTAATAACACTTACCAAACAACAAATAAAAACTGTAATATATAGAACTACGATCGGTTACAAGAAGGAAGTAGTTTTTACAAATCAATCGTTTCAAACAAAAAAAATTCATTTATCAGGAAAATTTTTTCAGGTGTAATACAGCATAAAATTTTGCTCAAAAAAAGTGATTAATGTCCTTTATGTTGGTTTTGCTAATTGTGAGGTACCATTAGGCTTCCGAGTTCTTCGAATTCACTGCTGAAAATATTGTTTTTCTCGTTTTAACTTTCAAGTTATACTAATAAAGAATATTAGACAGCTTTTAACTAAAATCTAATTTTGTTTACAATTGTAGGTGTTCCAACTCGATCTGGTATAAATTACAAACTGGTAGTTTATGGACTTACAGGTGATTGCCCTGCAATCAAGCTTGCAACGAAACATGTTAATCATCAAGGTTACTGGTGTTGTTGGTTTTGCTACATACAAGGTATTCATATTGATAACAAAAGACAATATTATTTCCAAAATGAACTTGTTCTTCGATCAACAGCTGAATATGCACATTATTCAGAGAAAGCAGAAAGAACAAACAAAAATATATTTGGTCATCTTGGTGTCTCTCCTCTTGCTACCGTTTTTAATATCCCTTTACCACGTTGTTTAATTATTGACTATATGCATGTGTCGCTTCTTCGTCATACACGCACTGTTATTCAATATCTTTATCAAAAATATTTAAAACCAAAACAAAGAAATGAGCTAGATGAGCTTTTTCGTCATCAACCTTTTCCCCATTTTTGCAACCGTAAAATGCGTCCCGTTAAAGAATTTTCGTATATCAAGTGTGTACACCTACTTCTTCGAATTTTTATTCATATATGATTATTCTTATTAGAGCAACAGAATTGCGAAATATGTTATTATATGGTCTGCTGCCGCTCATTCGATCATTTCTGCCTGTTGATTTAGCTGCTCATTTATCACTTTATGTAACAGCAATGCGGGTATATTTTTTAAATACTCTTTAAACTGGAGAATTACTTTTTTTCATTTGCTAAATACACAGAGGAAGATATGGTTTCGACTGTATAAGCCTTAGAATATTTAATTCACAGTTCAAGTATTAGAATTACTAACACTTAGGAATCGGAAGCGGTGTACTTATACTATGTTCAGTTACAATAAGTTTTTCAGCACCTTTTTTATTTGAACTTGAAATTCTTTCACGACTGGACTTTGTTTTAATTTAAAATAGACGAATATATGTATAAATTCTTTCTCTGATATTTGATCAGAATGTATCAAATTAATATGTTAAGCTTTGCAAATAATTAAAGTTTACCAAGCTGTAAATTACCATAAATGAAACAATGTGCACACCAATTTCCAAATCACTATTCAGTCACGACAGGATACATAAGATGAAAAACAGAAGCAACCAAAAGAATTGCATTAATTCCTTTTTCATTTGCAATTTGTTTTGTCCTTCTTTGTCATAAATATGAAAGAGTGTATATTCACTAGACAAAGTTTTACCTTTTCGAGATGACACGTGTGTATATACTGGAGTTTTAATTAGTAAAAGCTTTTTCTTTATCTCTGAAATCGGATAAATCTTTTATATTAAAGTTACTGCATGGACCTCGTAAACTTGGTGATGATACAGAAATTGTAGCTAATGAATTGATGAACGCTTACTATAAAGATCATCAATTGTTCTATATAAATATTCAACATTTTGCTTTACATCTACATTGTCATTTGGCGGATCAATATTATTTGCATGGCAGTTTATCTAATCTGGGTGTTTTTGGTCAAGAATCATTGTTGGGGCACTTTGCTAAAAGTCGGCATGGAACACGTAATTTTGGAGAATTAATTACAAACAACTACAATGTAAGTAGTGCTTTGTTCATTTCATTTGACTTCACTCACAATATTTTTATTAATGTCAGATTGACTTTACCATACACAATCAATTAGAACATCAGTCATCAAATAAGTCGATCAAAATCAACGGCGTATTTGATCCTCATAATATGTCAATTAACAATTTTGTTCGTGAGAGTCATAATGCTTTATGTAATTGTGATCACGTTGATCAATGTATTCGTATATACCGTCGTTATCGGATAGAACAAATGGTATATCATTCATTAATATATACTAGACGAGGATCAACAGTGAGTTATTTCGTTCAATATTCAAAAGATCGTGATAATCTATTTGGTGTAGTCGAATTGTTCTTCACGTGCAATAACAAAAGCTATGCTTTAATTCATAATCACAGTGTGAAGCATCTATTTACAGATTTTTTTCTCTCTTCCCGATATCATCCTGCCTTGCTTAAGGCGCTAAATATGTATTTCTATCTACTTCATCGTACTTCTACTTTTTGTGATATTGTTACAGTTGATAGCATATTAAATATATGTGTTGTTTTTACTTTTGACGATTCACTTGTTGTAACGCCGCTGTCGTCATCATACGAACATGACTAAATCATTCTTTTAAATAAAGTATTAAGTAGTACGTAAATTTTTTTCGTCTGAATGAATGAAAGAATGAATGAGAAAAGACGCCGGTAACTTCATTTTGTTCGTCCAATAGAGCGAGAAAAAGGAGCTGAATAGATTCGGCTCAACAATAGCTTTGTCTATTCTATTGCAATATGTATATATATCCTTATTCTTCGTGCTGTTCGACATGTTCTTGTTAATATCTTCTTAAAGCAATGACATCACGTCGACAAGTGATTCCTCGTCATGTTTTTACGCCTACTCAACGTACACCACCACCAAGTCATTATTTACTTGTTTTTGAAGATACTAATTCATATCAAATAGCTGCACGATCAAGTATTAAACAAATAACTGGCGATGTCGTGTCTATAATGATTCGTAATAAACTTGTAAAAGCAAAAGCAGTCTGCCACGGTATGTGTTCATACTTAATTTTTTTCATGCTCTGAATTATTTTTTTTTAGGTTCTCTTGAAGACTGCAATGCCGAATATGTTCGATTAACTAGTGTATCACAAAATGAAACTGATGAACACGATGATGGTACACCGTCATGTTTCATTCTTAAATATATTACAGTTTTTGAATCTTCTAGTTGATTCTGAAAATGATAAATTGACCATCGACGATTGGCCTATGAACGATGTTAATGTGTATTCAAAACCTGCGTCATCAAATTGTTTATCATCAACTGTATCATCGTCACCAATCTTAACAAGCATTCAATCACCACGACAAATATCTGATCAAAGTTATTTTCTTTCCTTTTTTTAATGGATATTAAAGTATTGAGATATGTCAAATATTGTCTCCGATCTATTAGAATGATCTCGCGCTTTAGAGATTAACAACAAATACTAAAATCTCGAATTGTTTTTTCTGTCCTTGCATGATATCAATTCGAATTATGATGCTTTTTACCGCAAAAAGTCCGCAGATGAAACTGTATTTTCCGAGTCTATCGTTATTACTATGATTGAATGTTTTAATGATTTGGTATCGGCTTCTTGATCGTTTTGAACTTTTCTATCTGATCTTCTTTTTAAAAATGTAATTTATATTATGTGATTTCATAGAAGAAGAGATTTCTACTGATGATGAAGAAACAACTTTTTTTGACTGTCGTAAACGAATTCACAAACAGTCATTAGGAGTAACAACCAAAAAGAAGAAGAACATGGATATGACAACTTCAACAAAACATATTTCAAAAGATCTACGTGAGTTGGAAAAGTATTGTTATTTGTTTTACTTTTGTAATTTTAGGTGATCAAAATGTTCAAATTGATAAAGCTGAAAATATTTGTATGAATAGCAAGAGTAAATCGAAAATTGAAATATGTGAGTTTCCATCTATATAGACATATGAGTAATAATTGTCGCTTCTTATATTTTAGATTCTAATATCTTGGAAGACATTGATAATCGAGTTAGTGAATTGAGTGAAAAATTCGTATCAACTTCATCCAAGATTGATCAACAAATGCAACGGCTTTCCACCAAAATTGATCGTTTTGCTTCAACTGTTAATATTGTGAGTTACCTTTAAAAAAGAATGTTCCACTATTGGTTCGTTTACAGCCAAAACAAATTATGAGATAGTGTTGTTTATTGATTGATGAAATATTATCTATCAGATTTAATTTAAATATGTCAGAAAATTAAAGTTTAAAGAGTTAAGGCAGACCACAGATAATTACTATTTCAAATGACTTCAGACTCTGCTAATAAAATAACATCTAATTGCAGTTTTTCAAGTTTTTAATTTATTTTTTTGGCAAAAAGGTTTTTTGGTTCTAGAATAAGCATGCTATTGAATCGTATATTGACAAATCAAGTGAACATTTTCCATCTGAATACGTAAGTTTCCCTATCAATGTATCAACAATTCCGATGCTATGTTATTTCTTGGTTCTTTTTAGATGTTTGGAGAAATCAATTTACTTGATGTTATGGCTACGGATTATGGAGATTATGCCCGAAAAATTTTACAAATTATATATACTAGTGATGAATTAAAGAATTCTATTCTGCCACCAGGTAAACCACATCTTGCTCGTCCACCTCTGGCCAAAGATCGATTCAAGAAATTTCTCGGTAAGTAAACATCTTTAGTTTCTGTTTCCAGATGTCAAATGCTTATTTTCTATAGAGGCTGTTCGATACAAGTATAAACTGGACTCGATTAACTTTGGGTTATTTTATCAAGGACTCTTGCGACGAAAACTCACTGACTTCCTAATCGAAGAACGTCGACGAGAACCACTCAAACAGGCTCGACAGTCACTTAAACAAAGTCAAGCACAACGAACAAGTCAATCAAATTTTGACGAAACATTTGGATGACAATTTCTTCTTTTTTGTTTTCATTTTGTACATTGTGATGAAACATTGTATTTTATATATATGATTTAATATTTGAAATATAAGCATATTATCACTAAGAAAAATCATGTTAAACTATAGTAAAACGCCTAAAGTTCTCTGTTTTGTCAAACATCCTATTAATTTTCTCTTATGAAAGTAACCGATCTCGTTAAAATTCTATCAATTTCCATGGTTAATCGTAAAAATCGGAACCGCTAGCGACTAACCGAAATTATGGCACGAAAATCATCGATTAATTACGACTGAACAGGGGTTTTCAAGTATTCGAATAAAGTGACATTACTCGGTGCTTATTTCAATACATGCGATTAATTGGCAATTCTCCAAGCTTCAACAGTAAGTATTGTTTTTATTTACAACAATTTTTCTCTTTATTTAGGTTAACCTCAACGGCACGGTGCACAGTAAGTATTTTTTTAAATTAAAAGTGATTTTTCTAATTTAGATTCATCTCGACGACACAATGGACATTAAGTGTTTGTTTTAATTTAAAATATTTTTTCTTATTTAGAGTCACTTCAACGACACAATGGACAGTGAATATTTGTTTCTATTTAAAACAATTTTTCTATTTAGATTCATCTCAACCACCCAATGGACAGTGAGTATTTCTTTTTATTTAAAATATTTTTTTTCATTTAGATTTATCACAACGCACAATGGACAGTGAGTATTTATTTTTATTTAAGACAATTCTTTTTATTTAGACTCATCTCAACGATCCAATGAACAGTGAGTATTTGCTTTTATTTAAAATATTTTTTTTCATTTAGATTCACCCCAACGACACAATGGATAGTAAGTGTTTATTTTTATTCAAAACAATTTTTTTTCATTTAGATTTATCGCAAGGCACAATGGGCAGTGAGTATTTGTTTTCATTTAAATCATTTTTTTCATTTAGATTCATCCCAATGATACAATGAACAGTAAGTGTTTATTTTTATTTAAAACAATTTTTTTTTTATTTAGATTTATCGCAATGCACAATGAACAGTGAGTATTTGTTTTTATTTAAACTATTCTTTCTTTTTAGATTCATCTCAAACACCCAATGGACAGTGAGTATTTCTCTTTATTTAAAATATTTTTTTCATTTAGATTTATCGCAAGGCACAATGGACAGTGAGTATTTGTTTTTACTTAAACAATTTTTTTTCGTTTAGATTCATCTCAACGGCACGGTGTACAGTAAGTATTTATTTTTATTTAAAAATTTTTTTTTAATTTAGATTCATCTCAATGACACAGTGGACAGTAAGTGTTTATTTTTATTTAAAACATTTTTTTTTTTCGTTTATATTCATCTCAACGACACGGTGTACAGTAAGTATTTATTTTTATTTAAATTTTTTTTTTAATTTAGATTCATTGCAAGGCACAATGGACAGTGAGTATTTGTTTTTATTTAAACCATTTTTTTTCATTTAGATTCATCTCAATGATCCAATGAACGGTGAGTATTTGTTTTCATTCAAAACAATTTTTTTTATATTTAGACTCATCTCAATGACCAAATGGACAGTGAGTATTTATTTTTATTTAAACCATTTTTTTTCATTTAGATTCATCTCAAGGGCACAATGATCAGTGAGTATTTGTTTTTTTTTAATTTAAACTAATTCCTTTATTCAGATCCATCTGAACGACACAATGGACGGTAACAATTTGTTTTTTGTTAAGATTATGTTCAACAACAATCTCCAGGGTAAGTATGATTTTAAATAAATAAATTATTTTCAGCAGGAAGAGCAGTAGAAATTAATGAATATATGATTGTGTATATAACTGCTACAAAATACATTAGAATTTTGTAGCAGTTATATACTCAATTATATATTCATTAAATAAATTATATTTTTATGTGTAGGAGTGGGGATGTAACAGGAAGTTGCTTCCCTTCACTAAGGAGAAGCTAATGCGATTACGATAGCAAACCGCGTCGTATACGGCGGTGTACGGTCGTATACGATGGTCGTAACACGTCGTATTTCGTCGTATACGACACGACAATATACGGTCGTATTTCAGGTGTCAAGTAATACGGCGAAATACGATCGTATACGGTCGTAATTTACATCGTATACGACCGTACACGATCGTATACGACGTCGTATACGATCGTATACGACTGTCGTAACGTTCGTCCTGGGAGGAAAAATGCATTATAAAATAAGGTTTAGTTTGTAGATGGTAGAGC